TGATCAAATTTCAATTTAATTATACATTTTAAATAATTCACTACTTATAATTTCAAAAGGCTTTATCAAAAAACAACTAAAGAATTGATATCCATTACAATAATTTGAGAATTTCAATTACAAAATAGGCCGATTTCAATTAATAAAGATCGTTTCACTCTGAAACTGGCAGGTTGAACATAAAAATTGCTATCATATATTTATTTATTTATTTAATTTTAACAAAGTAAAAATTAATTTTACATTTGTGAAAGATAATTTTTATTCACATGTTTTGTGAGGGTTACAATTTACTATTCATCTATTGCACACACATTTTGTAGTACTCATGATTCAAAACAATGAAAACACCCGCATCTTTTGGAAAAATTGCAATAATAGTTCCTAACCTTTTCAATTTTTGCAGACTTTAACCTAATTTTCAATTTGTGTCAACAAAGGTCACTAACCTTTCAAAAATATGCAACTGGAGTCCAAATAGATTGAATCCATACAATTTTTTCGTTAGTTGATCAAGCAAGTGATTTTGACCAGATTATTAATTATTTCTACAAGGGTAAAATGATTACTTTATCTATTTTCATATAAAAACAATTAAACCAATTAAATAATAATAATAATAAAAATCACCATCTTCCACCCCTACCCCATCCAAACCACCTCTATCCCTACCCAAAAATAAACCCATGCTACCATTGTCGTCTATCAACCACGACGGTCGTTGTCGTCGCCATCGCCCACAGTTGTCGTCCTTTCCTTCAGCGCCAACACAGTAAAATCCCCAGATAACAATCACAACTCAAATCAAAACCCAAAACCATGTTATCCATCGCCGTCCACGATCTACTTGTTGAAGATTTGTTGTTCAAAATCAACAATTAACGTGTATAGAACGAAAAATGGGAGTTAGGCAGAAAATTGGACCCAAGTTACTACCATGCGATCGCATGGTGTAATTTTTTGGTCGTTGGAGGCCGTTTTCTTCTGTTTAAAATATAAATTTGGTGACTTTTGACTTATAGTTTGGTACCATTTCGTGAATGTGGTGTATGCCTATATATATGGGATCCATGTTGAAGGCAACAACAATCATAAAAACATCAAGGTTCTATATTACTTCAAAAAAAAAAAAAAAAAAATCAAAGATCAAAATCTTTAAATCCATATTCAATATTCATCCCTGTGTTCTTCAAGTTTTATAGGATTTGCACTTGTACTTTAGTACTTATATCCTTACAAGACTTGTTATAATCCTGCAAACCATTTGCCAACAACTTTCGAAGCATCTCAAATTCATAAGAGCAGGGGCAAATATCGTTTGAGGATAACGATATTGTGTTCAAGTCATTCATTGATACAAGTTGATGATTGTTTTGTTATCTGCGTTGCCAATTCGTGTTTCGTGATATATACTCCTACACGGTGTAACTTTTGACAACACTACCCCCCGTCGCCCCCATCACCTACGGCCACCACCATCATCACCAATACAAAGCAAAATCCCCAAATCACAACCACAACACAAAGCAAAACCTAAAACAAAATCCTTGCTACCCATCGCCAGCAAAATCCCCAAATCACAACCACAACACAAAGCAAAACCTAAAACAAAATCCTTGCTACCCATCGCCATCCACATCCTCCCGTCGTTGCCCCATCACCCACGGCCACCACTATCACTGTCAACACAAAGTAAAATCCCTAAATCACAATCACAAAACAAAGCAAAACTCCAAAATCAACCTCTATATTGATTTGATAATTTATTGACCATTAAACTTTCTTTCGCCACCAAATTGATGGGTCTAATTGGAGTTGATACACCTACCACCCATGCTATGCAAAGCTTAAATCAATAACTTCCCTTCCCAAACAGCACTCTTCCCCCTCCGTACCTCCACCACAAACGACCCACCTGATTCCTCCATCTTCACTGCAGGCTTTCACCTCGACCCTGACACCCTCCGCCACCTTTCAAGCAAACGTATTACACAAGGATTTGGGAAAAGTGAATGACGATGAGAAAAGGGGTTTCAGAGGTGGAGAGAATGATGATGGCACGATCGACCACAGGTGGTGGTTACGGGATTGGTTTTCCCAATTTTTGGGTAGCGAGGGGGTGGCATGGGGTAGGAAGAAATGGACACAAGAGGATGTTTTAATTTTTTTATTTTTTATTTAGTTTTATTTTTATTTTTATATTAAGCCCATGTTTGAGCCACATTTTAAGGAAAAAAAATGTATTATTCATGTCAAATCAATAGAAAATGTGTGGATAAAAAATAAAAAAATATTTTAGATTTACGTGTAATATTATTTTATTGGAGAATATTTGATTGAAATGATATCAAATCATTATTAAAAAATGCATTTTTTAAAAAATAATTTGGCTCAAACAAGCCCTAAAATTGTTAAGTTACTATTTTACCTTTTTGCAATTTGGTCATAACCAATTTCTCTTGTCAACTAACGGTCAAACGGATGGATTCCAATCATTTGAACTCTAGCAGCATATTCTTAAAAAGTTAAGGGCCTCCGCCAACATAAATTGAAAATTAAGGTAAAGTCTATAAAAATTGAAAATGTTAGAGCCCGTTGCTGCAAATTTCCCCTTTTTTTTTTATGAATAACAATATATTATATATTTATTCAATAATATGATGATATTTTCACTGCCAAAAAATTATCACTCTAAATGAATAACATTCTTTGACGTAAACTTAACATTTACCAATCAGGCAATCACCTACTAATAAGTAATAAAATCTCTACTAATGGTGCACCAAAGTGCCGTAAAAAATTGGGAGAAATAATAAAAGAGTGAGAGACAGAAAATAAAAACAAATATAACTGGCAGAAGATTCGTAGAAGGAAAGAGAAAAAAAAAAAAATTGAAACAAAAATACATATTAAAGAATTATTTGTCGAAAGTCTCCTAAAATTTTATAATGAATGTGAGACAAATTTTGATTTTTTTTTTTTTTGCTTAAAAATTATTGATATTTTAAATACACCAAGATTTATAAAGACTTCTAAACAATTTTATTTGAATTCATTATTATTTTTAAAGATTTAAAAGTCTTTATTTAATTCATCAATGATTTTAGAGAATTTCAAAAATTCTAGATTGAATATAACTAAATTTTTAAAAAAATATTTAAAACTCTCAATGGAATACGTGATCCTTAATCGACGTTTTTTGCAACTTTAGTCAGAGAAAAAGCTGAGCCTCTAGTAATTCTTTATATTTTATCTTTGCTAGGTCACATAAATGTTTTCTGTCATCCTGTTTGGTACTTATTATTTTTCAATAACACATTTTCAATCAATTTACTATTCAAAAACGTATTTTTACACAAAAATGTATCTATTTTCTTGGTTCTTTTTTACTCTCTCTCTCTCTTCTACGAGAAAATATATCGTAAGATTTAGTGGTATAATGGATAATTGGCGTAGAAACTTGAATGGCCCTACTATGCTTGTTCCAGGAAAAGCCCCTTGTCCAGGTCACATGGGCCCTGGACAGTGGCACCCCCTACAGGTGGGACCACCTATAGATTTGTCTACGCCAAGTAGGCCCCGTTTGCTCCAAGGCCCACCCCACCCACCTTGTCTGGTTCCCTTGTCTGTCCAGGATCAAAATAAGTTGCTTATAAGTTGGAATTTATTTGTGTGGATAAAAAATTACTTAACTAGAGGTTTCGCAACTTTGATTTCAACCATTTTAAGTATTGTAGAGAGCATCTTTAAAGTAAGAAAAAATATTATGCACTCAATTTTGGCTCTTTATTTTGCTTTTCTCAATATTGATTTTTCTTTATATTTTATTTAACATACTAACTTTTTATATGTCAATTGATCAATTAATTTAAATGTGATTTGAATAATTTAAGAAGTATAGCTCTTGTTTGTTTCCAATTGTTAGAAGAAAAGAATTCATTTTTTGCTTGCACGTAGGACCCAGGTGTGAGAGAAGAAATTAATGATCATGGTGAGAAGAAAATTTGGAAATAAATAAGGGGCATAGTATTGAAATATGTGATTTATTAAATGTAATTATTGTACATTAAGAGTAAAGAGTGAATTTAACTCTCTAAACTTGGTGAGTTAGAGTCAAACTCACCTCTATTTTAAAAATGTCCAAATACAATTTTTTGAAACTCATATTTAAGGAACGATTCTCTAAAATGAAGATCATTTTATACTTAAAAGGTCTTTAGAAAATGTTTTAAATGAGATATACACTAGAGTTTGACAATTCGATATACAATTCTCTCACAATGGAGGCATGCATCCAATAAAAAATCCCTAACCCCCTTTATTATGAGGGGATTGTACATAGAGCTATCAAATTAATGGACGCATGACAAAACCCTTCTAACAATTGGGCTTACTTTTGTCGCCGCCACCAATGTTCAGCGAAATCATTCTCATTCTACCCTTGCCCACTCTCTCTACTTTTCCCTGTGACAGAAAATTCCAAATTAATGATGCCCCACACTATCTTAAATATATGAATAAAATGTTAAAAACATCTTAAGAATTAATATAAAAAATTATTTTATTGAAAGAATATATAATTAAAAATAAATTTAAGGATAAGCGATATAAAATATCAAAATCAACCAAGGACTAAATTAACTCTGCTAATCTTCTTCTTGAAACTAGATTACGACCACATTCGAAATCGAAATAAAGCTTTAACTTTTGTTTGGGCCTCATTAATTATTATTCTATTTTTCTCTCTCATATATTTAACGACATAATTTTCTATAAAATTATATTATACGCAAACCAAAAAAAATTTCAAAAAAAAACTATTTTAACCATTTTTGGGGCCAAATGGGGGCTTACTGTACCTGCGAAACAGATCTTGTTCAAGATTCACTGTTTCCTTGTCAATATCCAAATCCTCATCTCTCTCTATAAATATTAATAATATTATTTTTTTCGGAATAAATATTTTACAATATTTATATATAACCAACGAAATACAATTTCAGCAATATGTTCCCCCGTCACCACGAAACCCACACTTCCAGCACCCCAACCAGCCAGTCAGCCACCGCCATCACCACCAACCGAGAATGGCAAATGAAGAAGCCGACAGCCAAAGCCACTCAACTCCGTTCACCACGAAAACTTACAATTCAACCTCCGCCGATGGTGGGAGTATCGATGTAGTCCGCCGTCCGCGCGGTCGCCCACCTGGCTCCAAGAACAAACCCAAGACGCCGGTTATCATCACACAAGACTCCGAGCCATCTATGAGCCCTTATGTTCTCGAAATTTCCGACAACACTGACATCGTCGAAGCCGTTACTCGGTTTTGCAGAAAGCGAAATATGGGGCTCTGTGTACTTCACGGAAATGGGGTTGTTGCAAATGTTTCCCTCAAACAACCGTCGTCAACTCCCGGCGCTGTCGTTACATTTCATGGGCATTTCAATATATTGTCGATTTCCGCTACTGTTTTGCCGGGAAATATTCCGGCGATGGACGACGGTTTCAAAATATCTCTGGCAGGGCCGCAGGGTCAGGTTGTAGGCGGGCTCGTGGTGGGGCCGTTGCTCTCCGCTGGAACTAATTATCTGATCGCCTCCACGTTTAATAGTCCATCTTTTCAGAGTTTGCCACTTGAACATGATCACCGACACTCCGGTGAGGAGCGGCAGAAGGAGCTTTCTGGGTTGGGAGATGGTGGCCCTACGCAGCCTGGGGCTGCTGACTCTAGTAGAATTCCCTCTTACAGTTATCAATCTTCTGAAGTGATTTGGGCACCCGCCGCTAGACAGCCACCACCACCACCTTACTGATTTATGACTTCATTCTGTTGGTGTTTGATCTTATTGAGAAAATTTGTCAGCTTTTTTTTTAATTAGGGTACATTTGATTGCAACGAATTTCATGAAAGAAGTTACTTCTGAAGAATTCGTTTTTTATCTTAACTATTTGATACGAAAATGAAAATGAAGTTCGAATTTCAAAATACAAACACTTAAATCATATTTTAGACCAATTTTATGGAAATCAAATTCCATTGATTTTGGTGATTTTTTCTTTTTTAACTTACATGAAATTGATTTGTCTTTTTCATATTTATAATCAAACGGACCTTTAGTTTAACTCAATCAAGTTTTAAATGATTAACGATGCTGTGAAGTATCAAATCTATTTATTGATTTTTTTGAACTATTCTTCTAATTTTGATGGATGAGAATTCTTGAATACATATTTGTTTGATCCTCATTCTTTGGAAAAAATGAATTATTCTATAGTGTTTTAACATCATTTCAATCACATATTTTTCAATAAAATAATATTAAACTTAAATTTAAAATTTTTTCTTATTTTTTAATCACACATTTTTCATCAATAAACTATTTAAAAATTTATTTTTTCCCTCATAATGAGACTCAAACAAGGACATAATATCTTATATAGAAATATATGTTTTATGAAAAGACCTTATTTAGAAAGATAAGATAATACAAGAAAATAGATAAATGGAAGATAGAAGAGAAACAATCTACTTATAGAAATATCTCACAAATGTTTACTAATTATTTGACTATTGACGGATCTCTTTGCATGTCTTGCTCGGAAAGAGGAGGATTCAATGGTTATTTATTTGTTGAAATTGACGGTCAAAATTTTGGCGCACAAAGATCCCGTAAAAACTTCTTCTGAGGAATGAGATCATAGATTATTAATTTGTTGTGGTCATAAATGATCGTGTTATGCTATATTAGATTTTGAGTGAAAATATCAATAGCAAATGAGGAATGATTTAGGTAATCAACTTCAACTATATTGGAAACAAATACGATCGAAGTCAAAAATTATTTTTGAAACTGAAGGTTGATAGGGGTTGTGTACTTTCGAACGGACAAGATCAGCTCCGTGATGGAGGGCTTGTGTGGAGGTCGTACACAGTCATGGGCTTGGACGTAATTCCTTTTATTTCTCTACTTTTTTGAGGCTTGAGTGAAGGCATACATATTGAATGGATTCATAGTGAACAATTATCAAGCGCGATTGGAAAACATTTAAAAAAAAAAAACGTAAGGGAGACTTACTCATGATTGATGCTGGGCACGATTTTCTTTTAAATATATTAAAATAATTTTTTATAAGTACTTTATCTCATCAGATGTGCTTTTAAAGATATTTAATTTTAGGATTCGTTTGGCAGAATTTTTGCATCTTGAAAGATGAGTAAATTCCTAGATCTAAAACGTGAACAAAATTCTACCTATAACACTCATGTCAACATTTTGTCTGAATATAACCAAAATAAATCGCTTTATACTTCTCGAAAAATCTACTTAGGCGCCTTCAAGGTGGTGGTGGTGTGTGTGTATAGGGCTTGAAGTTGCTTTGTGATTGCTTTGGCGTGCGGCAATAGCAACTGTCTGCTCTGGTAATGGTATGATTCTGCTGGAAAAAAGCAGTATGGTCCATATGGATATGGATATCTCTATCTTATCTTTAACTTAGAAGTTCTTCTTGGGGATAAAGCCTGTCTCCATATTTGCAGCAGATTTCTACTTTATTTTCAAGATTAATTAATTTTGCAGTTACTTTTCTGCCATAAGCAGAGAAGTAAGATCCTTGCCTGCTGAATCAAGCATAGCCAGCGGCGGCTAGACCATTCGGGTTGGAATTTTGTAAAATCTAGAAAATTTTACGTCGTAGTTGCTTTGAGTTTATAGAAACTGGACGGACTCTGTCTGTTATATATAAAATAATATTATGTAGCATGATGGAGGGGGACAATCTTTGTCAAAATAAAGCATCCATGATAGACTTCGTGTCGTGGCCGACTTTGTTTACGAGGAATAATGTGAAAATTAGTGGTCTTCGAATATCATAACAACTAGCTTTAAAAAGAAAAAACGAGGACATTGTATTTTTACAGCCTTCCATTTATGAAAAATCTGGATATTTCCTCTTGTTTTGAAAATTACGTGTTCTGCTAAGTTACAAACTATATTTTGTTTTTTCTAGTTGTCTTTTTCTGAGATTTTATTTAAATGACAAAATAAATTAATAGTTTAAAGAAAGTTATTTTTTTAAATCTTTTTGGACGTAGTGATTTCAGTTTAGATCAGTATTTAATTTCTTTTTATTAAGCTCTTGTGTGGTTGAAAAATAGGAAAAAGTTTTAAATTTGTGCGTAATATTATTTTATTAAAAAATATATTGTTATAAATAGAGCGGCACCACAAAAATTGCAAAATCGCAAATCGAACTGAAATGGCTAGTTTGAAATCATTGGTTCGAGTTCACGTGGACCCGTGATTTTTTTCCTTTTAAACTTAACCAAATCATTTAAAATGGTTTGGTTTAAGTTTCGATTTTTGAAAATCGCACAAAATTGAAATAGACCGTTGTTAATTGTTTAATTCAAAAATTAATTTTATTAACTTATAAATTTTACAATTTTTGCTTTTCAGGAAAAATATCAATTTAGCAATACAATTACAACCAATCCATTGAAACATTCATATAAAGTAATTATGTTTGTCATTACCGGTCCATGATTTTACAAGTCAACAACACATGTTCTGACCCTATATCTAAATTAAACTAAAATTATTCTCAAGTCATATGAAATAAACTAAAAATGTAAATAAATAAATAAATTTTCGACAATCCAAATCATAATTCAACAAAATTACGGCAACAAGTTACATCCAAAGCTTCATAAGTCTTAAGCTAAACTCTCATTTCTAATATATTTGACACTTGCCTGCCAATGCTGAACAAAATGAGATTCCCAATCTTCAATCGCCAGTTGCCTTTTGTCTTTTAGTTTGCTAATTTATACTCGAGTTGCCTCTTTCTGTCTTCTCACTCGGTAAGTCTCAAATTCCAATTCAAGTCATTTTCTCCATTGTTTTTTCTTTTATTTGTTGTTTCTGAATTTATTGTACACTTGTGAGTTATGGTTTAGATAAAAAAAAAATGACTCTTTGTATGTTTAGGTGATTAGTGATTTTGTTTATTGTTTGGAAAGAATGAAGGACAAAGCATATTGATTGTGTAAAAATGTTAGAATTCTCGAACTAGTACTACCATTTTTTACTTTCTTAAGGTAGTTAGAGAATGAAATTTGTCATTTCCCAATAAATCTGAATTCTATCAATCTTTATACATCTAAAAATCCTGCTCAGTCTCTATTTTTCACCTCACTAACAAAACAAAAGGAGTTTTAACCAAACTATAATAGTAGGATGTGACTTTATTTTTACCAACCGTTCGATGACAATATGAAAAGCAAATAAGAAAAAGTAAATAAAAAAGGAAGAAAGATATAACTATTTTATTAATATCTTTTAGTAACCAATTTCTAAAATAATTTATTCACAAGTTTCATGGGATATATGAATGTAATTAAACGTTTAATATTATTAGTTCTCGTTTGAACTTTTATGTGAACTTGTTTTAAATATATTATTATAATATCCCTTCCAAGATGTTTTCACCAATGGAGGGTTATCGTATCCATTTTCTTCAGAAATGACACGAGTGCCACAACTCCTATTGATTCAATTGTAAGTGGTGGATAGCTTAACAGTAAAAAAGAGGAGGAAGGAAGCCAGGGAGTAGCACTAGTCTTCGATAGGTAAACGACGGATTAAAACCGAATCAAACAGCAAATAATAGTTTGGCTTGATTTGATTTAAAAAATAAAATGGATTGATTTGGTTTGAAAAAATTCTAAACCGCATGAAATAATTTGAGTTAAAAATATAATATAAAAACATCCGAACTGAGTCGCGTTTACCTCTAGTTTTAAACAAGTTTGAAGGAAAATATATTATCAAAAAATGGGACTCAAGGGCTAAAACAAGAAAGTGAATAGGATCCTCAATATTTACTATGAAAAGAAATTAATAAGATAACTAAAGCTTTAACTAATGAACCATTTGATACCAACTTTATTGCTTTTTAGTGTCACGATGATATTATTTTATTTTTTATAGTAGAGGTCAAAACTAAGATTTCATAGGTGTCTTGATCCTCTTAAAATTACACCTTAAGGTTTGTATACATACATACTCTGTATTTTCTTTTATTGAAGGATTGAAAGGACCAATGTACTTGTACACACATAGTGCACACCTTGACTAACACCTCGCTATGTGTCAAAAATTTGACAATTGATTGAAAAAGGTGCTTCAAAATCAATGTACCAAAATTTGCCAACTCACATGATTATTAACCATTATATCAATCTTTATGTACATATAACATCATCCATTGGAGGAACAAGAAGTTAGTACATCAACGACTTTGTCTCAGGTGCAAGGACGCTCCTTTCATGATCTAAGCTTGATCATTCTCAGCTTCGAGGTCATTCAGCATGCAATTTTTTGTACTGTCAATGTGAATGTTAAGATCATAAAGAAATTAAAACTTGAGAAAATGCTGCCAAAACTTAAAAAGAGTTGTATCTTCACGTTGATCTTTAATGAATTTAAATATATTAGGGGTTCTTGAATTGGCACTGACAAAAGTTTTTATAAATGTTGCAGAGCAAAAGAGAAATATAAAAGATAGAGAAACTAAAGGGGTAAACCAGGATGTGTTGGACCAGGGACCAGGGCACAGGCCCGGTACGGCCCATAAACTTTTCCAGTCTAGACCAGACTGGGCTAGTCGGGCAGGCGGGCAGTCCCAAATTTGCTACCAGAACTACCTCTCCTGCAAGTAAGCATCACAGACTAAAAGAAATTTAAAGGAGACTAGCTTCATGGTAGACCTACAAATTTTGAAGTACCGGCTTTCATCCTCTAAGCTTAAATTTTACTTCAAAAAGTGTAGATAAATATGTCTGCATAAAAGTAAATGTGATTAACACGAGGCATATTTGATACGCAGTATTGGACACACATGACAAACAGTACAACATACAACATCTCTAGCTTTTTTTCTTCCTTAAATACTGTCCAATACTGTACAAAACCATCTCATCACACAAGCCACAAAAGGTAAAGTTGAGCTACACATTGTTTCTCAGCAAGCCTCCCCATATAACATATCAGTACTTACCGCGTACTTTGACCTTAGCTACAAAATTACAACAATCTATACATGATGAAAATGGAAGATGGCATGACGATGTAGCATCCATCTTCCAGACGTCGACCCACTTATCAGGTGGGACTATACCGAAGGTGTTTCTCGTAGAAGTTTATTAACTGCATAATAAAGGAAAACGACTTCAATGATATCAATCAAACTGAAGACTATGTATCACAAAAGCTGATGACGAAGAAATCAAGAGATAGGAAGACTCACAAGTATAGGATTGTTGGCCTTCAAGAATTTGTTATCCACCATCACTTTAGTTCCATCAGACCTGTAGGGAGCCATGTTACTGAAGCTAGTAAACCAGAAAAAAGGAATTTTGAAAAGCATGCCCAGATTGATAATCCAAATAAAGTGCAAAAGACCATTAAAGAAACCCAAAAAGAAAAGGAACAACATGTTACAAAATATAAAAGGATGGAAAAATGTAAAAGGTTTTCAAAAGTTCAAAGAGGAGAAGGAACAAAGTAGCTAATTCAAATATTCACCACTATTTATCAAA